CCTACAATTGACATACCACATAGCTGCACAATTAACTTCCCGAACTTCGAGGGCCAGTATTTCACACTGTTGGCTACTTTGGTTCCTTGCGATCTTGCTGCGGTACGAAAAGTGCAAAAGCGCATAATCGCACCGGCCCGCCTGGTGCGTTCGAGCCTGGATTTTTCTGTGCATCCAGAATTTTATTATACATTTTTGATCTTTTTAATAGGCTTTTATGCTACTCCGACAAAATTTCATGTTCTGGGATTTCACATTTTTTCTTACACAGGTATTTTTAATACCTCAAAAAAGAAGGTTTAGTAATTGCCCACATTTTTAGATGAAATTTTGGAGCATTTTGTGTCAGCAAAGCAGCTTGAAGAGACGGAAGTTGATGATGTGCGCGACGTATTATCCAAAAGACATACGCATCAGTATGAACAGGTCATTTTATTTACTATACGTCTTGTTACAGAAATAAACAGGACTGTGAGGGAGCAGTATTTAAGCTTAAATACCAAAAATGTCAGGAGCGGCGAAATGTACAGTTTGGGTATCCCATGTTGCCAGTGTTATCGAGATGCTTTCATACACCATGCGCCTCTGTTCCAAATTCTCAAACGCTGAGCAGGAAATTGGGCCCGTGTTCTTTAAACTGTGGAAAAACGAGGCATAATCAAAGTTCGTATTAGTGAAAATAATTTTACCTGTTTGGGTTCTTCCAGAAATCATTGCCAGATATGATTACACAACCACTTGCTGCAATCCTGAAAATCAGTGTAATCGATCTTCAGCCGTTTGGATAATGAGGGCGTGAACACTTGGGTTGGCTGACTGGTTTCTTTCCAGGCACGAGGAGCAGGAAACGGTAATGGGGCATCGCAAGGCGGTTTCCTGAATGCTGTCCGTTCAATATCCGATATCGGACGAACATTCTCGCATGGACGAAATCTGACAAAAGCTGCCGAAGAACAACCGATTAACGAAGGTGCTGAAACATCGCCAAAAACACCCACTCTTAAATTACCTGAAGTTAGTTATTTCATCCAAAAATTTTGCACTTTTTGTCGATTTGCATAAAAAATTAAGCGATTAACAAAATCCGGAGAATTACTGTGGGTATCTCTTGTTAGTGATGCCACTAGGATGCTTCCACATATCGGACTCAGCTGTTTCAGGCCCGTCGATCCTGAACTGCATGCGTCCAGTTAATGTTTTAAATGTCAAATCAGAAATTTGAATTAGACTGCCAAGATTTACCGTATCTATTGAATTTTCCGGTTTTGTGCTAATGACAAGTATTGAATTAGCTCGCAACAAATACCAATTCCAGCGTGCGTACGCTTGTATGTATGTGTGTGTATATGTACATGTGTGTGTATATGGACGTGTGCGTGTATGTATGTGTGTACGTACGTATATGTGTATGTATGTGTGTGTATGTATGCGTGTATGTATGTATGTGTGTATGTATGTACTTATGGATACACGGTTATTTTGTATTTTGGTCAAATTTGATTTCTTCGCTCGTGATTGACACAATGCAAATTGCATTTTGATGTTTATAATTGCAACATGCAAAATTAGTTTTGGATATGAATGGAAAATGCGGCATTTCGGGATGCATGCTGCGATCAGGTTGTTTATGCTGCTAGCCCTTAAGCAAAAAGAGAGGGAAAGGAAAGAGAAAAGGAGGGATTTTTCTTTTTCTTTCTTTGATTAATAGTATTTTAAAATTCATAATTTTTATATATATCAGTGAATAATAACTGGAGGCATGCCACCCAGGATCAAAGGGCCTGTCATAGCTAAGCGCAGTGTGTTGCCACATTCCAATAACACCACAAAGCGTGCACTGTCATCTAAGCGGCCTTCGCTTTTCTTGTGCTGTATATTAGTGTTTTTCTAGTTTTTTGTTTAATTACTTTTATTTAAGTTTTATTTTATTATTATTGTTTTTCCTCTATTACTGAGATGTTATTTGAAGAAAACTGAAAGATCATTTGCTGAGTGTAATTTGTAAAAATTGCTAAAAGCTTTCGACCTATTATAATTTCCTGAGCTTTCTTCTCTTCACTCCGGTTTTGAACGACTGTTGGTTGTGCTTCTTCCCTACCCCCCCCCCCCCCCCCCCCCCCCCCCCCCCCCCCCCC